CATAATGTGTTGCTATTTAAGCATGCTTCACTTTGTCAGACAGGTTCTACTTAAGTGATTTCTTGATTCAGCAGGTCTGGCAATAATCAGGCCTGGGTGTGGCTAGTGAAATTTAACTCAGCTTTCTAAAATAATGTGGTTAATTGCAGTTCTTTCATGATTTAACAGGAGGGGGCAATTCATTTTCACGTAGGGCCACGTAGGTTTGGACAGCTTTTTTCCCTTAATAAATGAAATCATCATTTAAAAACTGCATTTTGTATTTACTTGCATTATTTTTGTGTAATATTTAAATTTGTTTGATGATCTGAAACATTAAAGTGTGACAAACATGCAAAAAAAATAAGAAATCAGGAAGGGGGCCAACACTTTTTCACACCACTGTATATATAATTTATGAACATTAGGTCAGTAAGTGAAAAAATAACTAATATTCATAAGGCAACTATAAATGCATAATAATATACAATTATCTGAATATGCATACATCAGGCTCTTTGGGTTTAACGTAGTTGGAAGGGAAGAGGCCAGACTGGTCACCGATGCACCCTCTCCACCATTCTCCTTCCCTCTCTGTTACCAGGACAACATCCTCAGCACAGAACATCAGGTCACCTGACTCTGGACTCTCATATGTGTACAGAGCCACATACTCTAATAAGATCAAAACAAACAGAACCATGACAAAAACTTCTAAAATGACGATTCAATTTAATCAAAGTATCTCCTCATAATATCTCGTCTGAATAACTAGAGATGGTTGTATAAAAACATAAACAGACACCTCACCCTCAAACGGACCAGAATCTGAAAGGTCTATCTCGTCCACAGTAGAATATAACGGCCTAGAAGAGACACAAACAACACGAAAGCTTTAGGTTTATTACAAGCATATATTTATTGGCTACTAATTAAAAACATAATTTATTCTAAAATGATTGATAGCATTTAAAATTCTGAGCAGGAGAAGTTTCATTCAAACCTTGCATGAAGAGTACCGCAAATCTAGCTTTTTTTTGTTAAAAAAACAAACAAATGTATATTTAGATAAAGACTTTAAAAATACTGAATTCAATACATAGTTTAATACATTTTACAATCATTCCTGGATTCCCTGCTGTATCTCAAATAAGAGCACATTTTAAAATAATTTTAAAATAGTTTTCACCTTTATATGGTACTAATACTTTAAGCTGTCAGGAACAATAAAAGTATGACCTATGTTATAATCGTCTAAAATATGTTCAATTCTGTTTAACAAAATATTACATTTGAAATAAAAAAAAATCAGCTGTCTTTAATTACACCTTAATAATTATTTAATTAAGCAGGTTTATGAGGTTAAATGAGAGGTATCCCATTTCTTACTCAGTCTGTGTGTTATTGGTGATAACCACGGAGACATATGAGCAAGGGAACCAGCCCCGGCTCTCTCTGAGCTCTCCGTAGCACCAGTTCTCCTGCTTCTCCAGAACTCTGATGACGTCATCTTTAGAGAAGCCCAGGTGACTGTCAGTCTTAGCGCTCCATTCACACAGAGCTACAGCCTATTGCACAAAAACACAGAAAAAATGATGTGCAGGGACAATGATCAGAGTGTCATGATGATCATATTCCTGCCAATTATCATATTCCTTCCAGTGATCAAAAAAACGATGCTGTATGTAAGATATATGGTGTCTGTGTATATTCACATATGCCAACCTGTGAGTGCTGTGTGTTTGAAGACACTGGTGTGTGTGTTGGTGTTGGTCCTTCTATGTCCACCCGAGGAATTCTGGGGGGGGAAAGGGATTTTAAAGAATTTTTCATTCATCTAAAATAAATCCATAACATTTTTTAAAAAATATTAAAATAATAAAAATATTAATAACACAACCCTAAACCAACTTGAAATATAAGTTAGTCTGTTAAGATCATGTCCCACCAGCTCCATAGCAGTCAAGGATGTCACACCTACCGAATGTTGCAGAATCTCTGACGAAGGTCTTTCACATTTACTGATTAAGAATAGAAGAACAGTGACAGTCTAAACGACTGCATCTGACTCTTTTTTCGGAATGTCTGACACATACTGACACCGCTTTTTTGGCAACAAATGTGAAGCTCATCAAAACAATATGTATGGTAGTAATAGGGCTGGGCAATATATTTGTGTTGAATATTGTTGTTATATAATTTTTTTTGTGTGTGTGAGTCCGTAATATCTTTTTATTTGGCCATTAAGTTTGATTAGAATAGTTTTACAATCCTTCTTTGTCTGTTGTAAATTTGATTAACTTCCGTGAATCACTTCAAACTGTTTCAGTGAATCACTTCACATCTGATTGTATGATTAATTTGCATCATTACTTTTCATTGAAGTCTCTATATGACATTTTCTAGGGAATAGTGAAATGGTGTTAGTAAAAATATGTTACTGTTTATTGTTATATTTGGGCATATAACCAAAAAATATTTGTAAAATGTTCTATTATTTTTCCTTTAGCGTGGAAAAAAAATTCTTGATTGATTTTAACTTGTTTTTGTGTGTAACTTCAATAATAATATTAATAAATTTGAATCTACTGGGCTACAATAAATGAAAAATTGAAAAAGATGTTTTCTCTGATTAAAAAAAAAACACTCTTTTAAAAAATCAAGACATTTATATCACATACAGGTTGAAAAAAATTGAGTGGTTAAGCTAAATTGCACAGTAAGTTAGAACCCTATAAAAAAATGCTGCATTAAAAACAGCCCAAGTTGGGTTAAATATGGACAAGCCCAGTGTTTTTGTTAAATGTTTGATCACCCTGCTGGGTAGTTTTATTTAACTCAACTATTGTTTAAAAATGACTATATTTCTTGCTTAAAATGAACCCAATATAGGTTGGAAATGAACATTTATTAATGTTTAATAATGAGCATTTATTAATAAGTTTATTAAATAATAATTACATAATATATGTTTTCTCTGATTAAAAAAAAAACACTCTTTTAAAAAATCAAGACATTTATATCACATACAGGTTGAAAAAAAATTGAGTGGTTAAGCTAAATTGCACAGTAAGTTAGAACCCTATAAAAAAAATGCTGCATTAAAAACAGCCCAAGTTGGGTTAAATATGGACAAGCCCAGTGTTTTTGTTAAATGTTTGATCACCCTGCTGGGTAGTTTTATTTAACTCAACTATTGTTTAAAAATGACTATATTTCTTGCTTAAAATGAACCCAATATAGGTTGGAAATGAACATTTATTAATGTTTAATAATGAGCATTTATTAATAAGTTTATTAAATAATAATTACATAATAAACCTTTATTAAATTTCTTATTAATATATGTTCACCTTTTGTTTATTAGCTACTGATGCCTCTAGTAATTACATGTCTGATTTTTAATTTACAACCCAATTTTGGGTTCATTTTAAACCAGTCATATAGTAACTACCCAACCGCTGGGTTTGTCCATATTTAAGCCAACTTGGGTTGTCTTTAACCCAGCATTTATTAGAGTGATAACAGAGTAGTTTTAGTGCCATACCCAGGGTAGTTGGTAGAGGGCGCTGTGGATTGTGAATCGGCTGCAGTCCGTTCAGTCTGAGTGTCTTTGCTGCATCTCTCAGCATAACTCTCTGGAAACCAGCCGCTGTTACCACGGTAACTCCCATACAGCCAGCCTGTCTCTCTAACTGTTGATTCATCTACCTGTGGATCCACAGGAAGCCAAATTATATGTGTACTTGAATGAGTAAAATGACAACTGCGTGAGTGAATGTGTTGACATATGTACAGAACCTCGATCAGACAGTCTGCCTCCAGTGTGAGCTCATCAGAGTTGCGTGCTGTGAAGGGATAGAGAGCTCTGTAGGTGGTGAGGGCAGCACAAGTAGCTTCAGTAGTCACCACTGGCTGCAAGCCTGATAAAAAACAAACACAATCCCCTTAGAACCATATCACAACCATTTGGCACATTTACAAATGCATATTTCAACATATAAAAACATCTTCATAAGAGAAAACCCACATCAGCAAACATCATTTTATATGTATCTCAATAATTGTACTGCTCTCTGCACTGAAACATTCTATTAAATCAAATTTGTCAAATTAATTGCTTGATAAATTCATCTAAATGGACACTGCAATATTCCATTGTGAGTTACAGCTGATTTATCTAATGAATCTACTGAACCAGTTTACAAACTGGTCTGTATGATTCTTTCACATATCGGACTGATTTGTTTTGAGCCGGTTTTCAAGATCACTGACAAGCCCATATTAAATCAATAAATAATAAATATGTCTGTTTCTCAAACTGAACTCAGAAGACTAGCGCACAAGTTTTATGGAAAAAAGTGACCAGTACTTCACATGTTTTTATCTTGTGTTTCACGGAAGAAAGTAAGTCAACAGGGTGAGAAAATGATGACAGGATTTTCTATTTAGGGTGAATTATCCCCGAAGTAACATTATAATAAATATAATAAGACATTGTGTAAATAAGTATTAAAGGAATAGTTCACCCCAAAATGAACATTTTGTCATAATTTACTCACCCTCATGTTGTTCCAAACCTGTATAAGTTTCTTTCTCATGTTGAACAGAAAAGAAGATATTTTGAAGAACCAAATAGTTGTTTGCCTCCATTGACTTCCATAGTTGGGAAAAAAATTCAATGGAAGTCAATGAGGACCATCAACTGTTTGATTACCAGCATTCTTCAAAATATCTTATTTTGTGTTCAACGTAAGAAAGAAACTCATACCGGTCTGGAAAGACATGAACGTGAGTAAATTATGACAAAATGTTCATTTTGGGGTGAACTATTCCTTTAAGACACAGAACACAGTGTGAGTTCAGAGTATGTAAGAAAGAAACTCATACCGGTCTGGAAAGACATGAACGTGAGTAAATTATGACAAAATGTTCATTTTGGGGAGAACTATTCCTTTAAGACACAGAACACAGTGTGAGTTCAGAGTATTATGTGAAATTAAAATATACAAAAACATATATTGTATGAAACTCTATGTTTAGCAGCCTATTAAAGCAGCCTTCTCTCAAAACACTCACATTCCATTGGAATCTGTTATATTAACTCGGAAAATGAATGGCAAGTAATTAAAATGAATCATGAAGCCGTGAGAGTAATGACACCCTTTACAATTAATATAATGAAAACATCATATTCATGGCCAAGTGGATGAATACAAGCCGTTTTCAAGCTTCGGCAAAGCACCTCACCTACTCACACACACACACACACAGGTTTGTTTTTATGGTTTATGGGGACTCTCCATAGGCGTAATGGTTTTTATACTGTACAAACCATATTTTCTATTGCCCTACACCAACCCTACCCCTCACAGGAAACTTTCTGCATTTTTAGATTTTCAAAAAAACTAATTCTGAATTATTTATAAGCCTTTTAAATTACGGGGACACTGAAAATGTCCTCATAAATCACCTTCTCGTTGTAATACCTGTGTCATACCCATGTTATTATACAAATTTGTGTCCTTAAAACCACATAAACATGCACACACACACACACACACAGACACACTCACTTTTGTTCTCTGTGCTATTGTATGTCATGGAGGGCTGAGTGTGTAGAGCCAGTTCATTTCTTTCTCTCTCTTCTCTCTCCTTCTCCTCCCTCTCTCTCTCCTCCGCCCTCTTCTTCTCCTCTTTCTCTCGCGCCTGCTCCTGGGCTTCCTGAAGTCTGGCTTGGGCCTGACGCTGCTGTTCTTCCCTGAGTTTGGCTTCTCGCTCCTGGGCAAGCATCCTCTGACGCTCTGCTTCCTCCTGCTCTAGACGCTCCTGTTCCAGCTTCGCCTGTCTAATGTATACATGAGCAAAATGTTGAGTGGGTAAAAGAGTGGGTGTTTAATCTAGCCTTTTTAGGGGGAATATTTGATGAAAAATATCACAAGAATAGAAATCTGATACAGAAGAAAACTGTACAGAGACACATGGGTGATAAATGAACTAAAGGGTTTTTTTTAACTATAAAAACAAACTATAATATATTCTACAAAACTGTAATATATATACATAAATTTACATGATTTTTTTAAAAGCCTATATATCGCAATTATATAACACCTTAATATTTCCATGTTGTTCATTTATGTGTGAACTCTGTAGATAGCTAAATATGATAAATATGATAATATGATAAATATGCATGTCTGTGTGTGTGAAATCAAATTTTACCTGGCAGCCTCCTCCTCTTTCTTCCTCTTCCTCTCCTCCTCCTCTTTCCTGTGTCTCTGTAGCTCTTTAAGTTTCTCAGATCTCACCCTCCTGAGCTGCTCTAGGACGTCCTGCTGCTGGCTCTGCCTCTGTCTCAAGTCCTACAATGTTACCCACACAATTCTTTAACACATACATCATGTTTATAACAAAACTTTGAATAATATGGTGTAGGTTCAAATACACAGTATGTGGTATTGCTTTATGCCAGCTTTACGGACTGCTAAAATGAACATAAATTACCAATATTGAGTGATACTGAGCTCCTATAAATGATCTGTTCCATTAAGGTTATTTCATAAATATAATATATAAATATGAGATAAACATTTATTTTAAAAATTCATTAAAAAGAGCAATATTGTGAAATATTGTTACAATTTAAAATAAATGTTTTGTATTTTAATACATTTAAAAATGTAATTTATTTCTGTGGTGGCAAAGCTGAATATATATATATATATATATATATATATATATATATATATACAGTGGGT